AAAAAAAAAAAAAAAAAAAAAAAAAAAAAAAAAAAAAAAAAAAAAAAAAAACATGTCGCCAGTGACTGTGATTTTGCTTCATAGCTTATAGGTCCAAAAACACAAACTCTTCCACCGCAGGAACTTCTCCAATTTTCCTCAGACTTTCCTTATTGGGTTCTTCATCCACCCCGATCGCCATTATCGCCCTTTTCTTCCTCGTCATCCTCCCCACGCTCATGAAGTTCACATTCACATTGTTCTCTCCCAGAATGCTCCCCACCCGTCCGATCATCCCCGGCTGGTCCACCTGCCGGCACAGGATTAACTTCCCTTCCAAACTCACGTCCACGTTGAACGACGCTACACGTGTCAGATGCGGCACCCCGTATTTCACCTTCCCTTCGATTGCCACCTCACCCTTCTCGCTCACTGCGCTGGCGAACTTCGACTCCACGTTGGAGACCAGGATTTGGATCGAGTCCACTGGAAACTCCGGTGGTGCGTTCACTTCCACCCGCTCCTCGCTTATTCGGAGCCCCTTTTGCTTGGCCGTGAAATCCGCGTTCACCAGGTTTATGTGGCTGTCCGAGATGGGTTCGATTATGCCTTTCGTGATCATGGCTCGTAACAGCCTCGTGTCTAAATCGTCTGGGGTTCGCCCTGTTCTGTACACCACTTTTATTGATTTTATCCCGCTCCCTCCGGCCACCAGCTGCACCGCCAGCCGCCCCAGTTTCTCCGCCAGTACCACGTACGGTGCCAACTCCGACAGTACCTCTGGGGCGACCATGGGAGCGTTGACGGCGGTGGCAGAAAGTTCGCCGTTCAAAGCTCCAACGACAGCTTCGGCTATTTCAATGGCAACACCTTCCTGAAACATTTGCAATTGAAAATGCACAATTTTACTTACCTCCCTAAATTCATCGAACAAATTATACACATCAAATTTAGGTGTAGAAAGCAAACCTGCGCTTCCTTAGTGCTAGCTCCAAGATGAGGCGTGAAAGTAACATTCTTATGCTGCACCAGCTTGCTGTCCTTCGGCGGAGGCTCCTCTGCAAAGACGTCAAGCGCCGCCTATTTCACCAAACACCAATAAATTAACGCATTCCATTCCCATTCAATAGAAACTAAAGCGTAGGATTGAAATTACCTGGGCAACCACTCCGCTATCGAGGGCTCTAACAAGGGCATCTTCATCAATCACACCTCCTCTAGCAACATTAATCAGACGAGCCCCTTTCTTCATCAGAGCAAAGGTATCATCGTTGAAAATCTTTGAGGTCGTCGGAGTGAGCGGCATGTGAAGCGAAATGAAATCAGCGGTGGAAATGGCTTGGTTGAAGGACACCAATTCGACGCCGATGGCTCTGGCTCGGTCCACCGGCGCGTAAGGATCGTGCGCTATTACTTGCATCCCTAATCCCTTGGCGCGTCTCGCCACTTCCGATCCCACTTTCCCGAATCCCATCACTGCCAGTGTCTTACCCACCAGTGACACTCCCACGTACTTGTTCCGTTCCCACTTTCCTGGAAACCCATTTCAACAACTCTCCACAGTTACTCCATTTTTTCTTTCTATTTTTAAAAATATTAATAATGCAAATACACACACACACGTGTCACACACACTCTGCCTGCCTTTCCGACCAGTGTTTATATTTTACTTTTATAAAAATAAATAAATTGATTATTAAATGCAACTTTTGTTTCTTCCAACCACTTTCTTTGTTTTTTTTTCTCCCTACTTCCTAAACATGTGTTTCCAGATATTTATAAATTTAAACAAATATTTTTTTATCTTTAAAATTTAGCAAATAAATGAAATTATAGTAAAAAAGTTGTGAAGAAATAAAAATAGTTTTAGTAATCAATATTTTTTCCAGGTCAGGATTTGGGTCTTTCTTTGAATTTTTGGCCTGAGAACAAATCTTTCACCTGACAAGGTGATTGATTCGTGTCATATACGTTTATAGATGCCAATACACTACCAGCCAAAACAGAGGTACGGACCAAAAAATAGTTTTTAGCTTTAAGCAGAGGCTTTTTCAGTAGAATCCTGCTCAGATTTTTCAACTTAAAACCAAGAACAACAGTTCAAGATCATTTTTTTTCAAAAGAATTCTTGAGCTTGGAACCTGGGTTACTAATTATTAGCAGATCTAATCGTTAAAACAAAAGGGTGTTTTTGAATTTTGGGTCGCAAAACAGAGCATCCATTACCGACCTGCTTTCATGGAGGCATCAGCTTGAGCGACGTTACGAGCCATGGCAGTAAGCAACGCAATTCCATGTTCGGCGGCGGCGATGGTGTTGGCAGTCGGAGCATTCACGACAAGACAACCGAACTCAGTGGCGGCTTGCAGATCCACATTGTCAATACCGACACCGGCTCTTCCGACAACCTTCAACCGCCCTTTCGCCGCTTCAAAGAGCTGTCGATTGACCGTGGTGCCACTTCGAACAATTAAGGCGTCGCAGGAAGAGATCTTGGCGCAGAGTTGTTCCGGCGAGAGGTCGTAAGCGCAGTCAACGTCGCCGAAGCTCCGGAGAAGCTTCAGACCGGCCTCTCCAAGTTTCTCGGCGACCAAAATGGTGGATCTTGTGTTGGGGAAAGTGGGGTCGGCGAGATCGGAGGTGTGAAGCTCGAAGGTTTCCACCGTCTTCAAAACGCTGCGGATTGGAATAAAATTGCAGCGAGAAGAAGAAGCGGAAGAAGAAGAATGAAGAGTGGGGAGGAGGTTGAGAGAAACAGAGGAGTTGGAGATGGAGAGAAGAGGGGATTTGGGAATGGAGGGTGCGAGGGAAGAGGAAAAGAGGGCGTTTGCAGAGGAGGAAGCCATTGGAGATGGAGTTGGAAGGTGAGAGTGAAGGAAACAGGGTTGAGTTTATGTCGATGGTGGAGAAATGGGGTTGGGATTCTTAAAAATAGGAGCGCTGAAATTTAGGGAGTAATTAAACATCATTTACGAACCACTTAATCTAATGCTCTTCTCCTCCTAAAAAAAGGTTTGCCAAATTTATGAATCCAGAGAAATTGATATATATTTATGTAATTAATTTGCATCTTAATAATCTGATTATTCTGCTTTGTTTCTAGTCATCTTTTTCTTATACATTCATCAACCTAGTGAAACATATAATTACGCATTTACCCCCACGTCAGAGCATGTGATGTGTCTTCACTTGAATCCACAAGGCCACCAATTAATAAAAGGTTTGAAAGTTGGATCTAAAACTGGGGCCCACAAGGGAGGGTTTCTCCGCTCTCAGAGGAGCGCTGACCATCTGACCAGCCCCTGGACGTGGCGTCTACAAAAGGGCGGAAGGGAACTTTGATTTCTTTTTTATTTTTAATATCAGTAAAAACTATCTAAAAACATAATTATATTTCATGTGTGTTTCATGCTAAACTTACAAATTTAATTCCAATTTAAACAATTCTTCATGTACTTTTATTAAAAGAACTATTAATTATATCTACAGCAGATTTATAAACTATTTATTTAATAACAAAGGTAATCTTATTCTTATTCCACGGCGTGCCCAAAAGTGAAACAACGCGGTGCCTTCCGCCGGTTCCGTCGCCAACTGAAACGGCCCAGTACTCCGGGGTTGGGCTTCTTGGGGGAAGTGGGCCTTCTGAGTTTAAAGCGGGCTTGGGTTGCATGGACCGCTCACACGGAGCCATAGCATAGAGACAAATATCAATTGGTCCAAGGAACACGCTCCGTGGCATTCTGAAATAATTGACCTTTCCAATAATGCTCCAACTCCACTGGTTCGTGTTGTTTACGCTCCTTCCCCACGCGTCGCCCCGTCCTTCTCCATAATATTTATATGATTCCCTCGATCTAATATATATATTATATATAAATTTCTTTCCGTTAACCCCAAAAGTAAAAAAAGAATAAAGAGAGAGAAGAAAAACCAAGAGATAGGACGGTCTTCCTTCTCTCTCTCTCTCTCTCCCTCGTTTCATTTTTGTTTTTGGTTTTCCCCTTTCCCCTCTTCCAAGAACTTTCTTTCTGCTTCTTCATCGAGATCGATTTTCTTCATCCTTTCTTCTTCTTCTAATTCTTCAATTTATTTGTTTTTTTTTCCTGGTGGGTTCGATTCAGATTTCTTTTGGGTTCTCCTTCATCGTCGTTGTTGTCGTCATCATCATAGGCACAGAGATGAGACCGCTTCAGCCGCCGCAGGGTGTAAATCCGGCCACCGATCGTCCTCGTCGCCGCCCGAATCTAACCCTTCCTCTTCCGCAGCGGGACAATACGTCTTTGGCTGTTCCCCTCCCTTTGCCTCCGACGTCTTCTAACGCCGCTCCTCCTCCTTCCACCAGTCAACTCCACAACGGCAACCGTCCACCGGAGCCTCAGCCGCAGAAGCATCAGGTTTTCAGCCTCGCCGACTTTGAGCGAGTCAGTCGAATCGGAAGTGGATGCGGAGGCACCGTCTACAAAGTGATTCACCGTCCCACCGCCCGCGTCTATGCTCTGAAGGTCATTTATGGAAACCACGAGGACGCGGTTAGGCTTCAGATGTGCCGTGAGGTTGAGATCCTTCGCGACGTTGACAATCCCTATGTGGTCAAGTGCCACGATATGTTCGATCACAACGGCGAAATCCAGGTTCTCCTTGAATACATGGATCGAGGCTCCCTGGAAGGAACGCACATCCCTCAAGAACATCATCTCTCCGATTTGGCTCGCCAGATTCTCAGCGGCCTCGCTTATCTCCATAGCCGCCGCATCGTACATCGCGACATCAAACCCTCGAATCTCCTAATTAATTCCCGGAGGCAGGTTAAGATCGCCGATTTCGGCGTCGGTCGAATCTTGGAACAGACGATGGATCCTTGCAATTCCTCCGTTGGAACTATTGCGTACATGAGCCCCGAGAGAATCAATTCCGATCTAAATCAGGGCCAGTACAATGGCTACGCAGGGGATATTTGGAGTTTTGGGGTTAGCATATTGGAATTCTACCTCGGACGGTTTCCTCTTGCCGTGGAGAGGCCTGGGGACTGGGCGAGCTTGATGTGTGCTATATGTATGGCTCAGCCACCGGAGGCGCCGCCCACCGCGTCGCCGGAGTTTCGCCATTTTATTGCCTGTTGTTTGCAGAGAGAAGCTCGGAAGAGATGGACTGCAGCTGCACTACTGGAACATGCGTTCATAGCGGGGAAAAATGGAGCGGCGAGTCAGTACCAGAATCAGCAAACTCATCACCAGAATCTTCGTCAACTATTACCTCCGCCGCCCCTTCGTCCTTCCAGCCTTTCTTGAGGGAGAGAGAAGAGACTGATAATTTCTCATATTGGTTTCTCCTTTTTTATTTCTTGAATTACTCTGTCTTCCTAAGAAGCATGACGCCATTGTTGTCCTGTAATTTTTCTGGAATAGCCGAAGGAATGGGGAAATGATTTGCTGGATCAGTAAATCTGTAATCTTTTGCCGATGGCTTAAATTCAAGCCTTCTCGAATTTGATCTAGCTTCTTTCCCTTAACTCTTCAAGCTCTTTAGATTAGACTGTGGTGTTGTTTTGGATATATGGGTTTTCATTTCTTGCTTCTCTTTTCTTGCCGTTCTCAGTCGAAGTTCGCATATCCTTAACCGAAGTTTGGTATCATAGATTTGATCTGTAGAAAGGAAGAAATCCCACTTTCTGGCTTCTGTTCAATCATTTGAATTTGTTTGTGAAATCAAGTAAGTTGTAAAAGTTACATAAGAATGGCGTAGGGACCCAACTTTCATTTGATGATTAGGATAGTGTTTTCTTTTTGGCACTTCAATGCTAATCTGATATAAATGGCAGGGGGGCTGCCTTCATGGAGCGATGAAGCATTTTGACTTTGGAATTGACCTTTTTTTTAATGGGCCAGACGAGGAGAAATCGCTTAAACCCGTTTCTCAACCGTGCCCAATGCCACTTTCACTTGCAGAAGCAGAGCAGCCATCGCCTCACAAGACATTGATTTTTACAAGCAAAAGACTCCAATGCTGAAAACCCTTTTCTCTACGGGGCTTCTCCCTTTTTACCCTCTGCTAATTACCCACCAAAAAAAACGCAGCAGTTACTCCTTTGAAACTGAAAAAGCTCATATTTTTAACTGTACGGATGAGTTGAGTTCTTTTCCAAACTAACAATGGGGGTGGATCAAACAAGTGTACGCCCACTTATTCTGTTTTATTATTGTTAATTTTATAAAAAATTACACTTAATAAATAAGTCAAAGCTAAGCGGGGAAGACGCAAGAGGACGATATTTCGCAGAAGCTTCCTAGCTGCTGTGGAGCTTGCCGTCTTGCCTTCCCTTCCTAATCGCCACCCACTCTCGTCTTCTTCATCGCTTGGTCTATTTATTATTTTTGTGAACTCGAGGATCTTATTTCGAAGATCTTTCCTTCTGTCTGGCCTTTGCCGACTGTGGTCACCCAAGTATTTATTTTTAAGCAACCGAATCAACCTATACGATCCAATCTAGTGGGACCCGATTGTTTCTTGTCTTACTCTCGCCTTCTTCCTTTTGAGGTTGGTATCTCAGCTCCATTTCAGGAGTTCTTAATCATTTTGCAGCTGGGATTCGACCTGGATATCCTCGTTGCGTCACTTCAAGTTCATCTCCAGTCTGGTAAATGCTTCCCCTCATTCTTTCTATTCATGCACTCACTAAACCTCGTCCTAATCTCGACTCGATCTGGTTTCTTCTTTCTGTTAAGTTAAAAATGCTTCGGAGTTGACATGTGGAAGATGAAGTAGCTGATGGGTAGCACATGTAAATCTACCCAGATTTGTATTTTACTGTAGTTTTGTCTAAAAGGGTCTTTGGTATTGGAAGTGAAAAGGGTTAATTGATCGAGATAACTATGCTTGCAGATGGGATCGATAGAGGAGGGAACAAATTACCTATCTGACGAAGATATTCCATTGAAGGGAACACCAGTTGCGAAAAACTTATCGCATAGCTTTGACTGTGAGACGGTTCATGTGCGTTCCTCCCCAGATGATAAAAGATGGTGGAAGACTAACAACATTCGTTTTAGACCTCTTGAAAGTGCTAAAATAGTGTTGATTAAAGCAAAGATCAACGTGTTACTTCCGTTTGGTCCTTTGGCAATCCTGCTACATTATTTAACTGGAAAGCATGTAAGAAGTAGTACTCCTCTTCATGATCTTACTGGTTGCATTCTGAAATTTGTATTAAGCAAATGACATGACTAGATTTGAGAACAAAGAAATGGTGGAAGACTTGTATTTAGCAAGCCTTTCATGAAACAGAAGCTCCTAGACAATCAAATATTTTTCCTAATTATTTGATTTGATGAGGATATGGTCTATGATGACCTCGTTGTGATGCTTTATATCATCTATTGATGTACTCATAAAATCTTGGATCTTCGAACATTCTAACTTTAGGATCTTTTTGCTGCTTAGTACCGTGGCTTGTATGATCTGTCTCATGGTTCATAATTCCTTGATAGTCAGCTTTATATGTCAGGGTTTGGTCTTCTTTTTCACGTTACTTGGAATTACACCTTTGGCAGAACGTCTTGGTTATGCTACAGAGTAAGATTTGGCCTCCCATATTCTCCGTTTAGGATTTCATATTATTTCTATTGTGCTACACTTACTTTTAAAAATACTCGTCATGCAGGCAGCTTGCTTCCTATACTGGTCCAACAGGTACAATTGCTAGCATGATCTGGCATTGCTTGTTTTGGTCATTTTGTTTATTCAAGTAGTTCCTCGTTTGATCTCTAATCGATGGCTGTTCAGTTAGTTTCTCTAGTAACTCAAATGTTTTAATGGACTTTGCAGTTGGTGGTCTTTTGAATGCAACATTTGGAAATGCAACCGAAATGATTATATCGATTTATGCATTAAAGAGTGGGATGATTAGGGTTGTTCAACAGTCGTTATTGGGATCAATCTTGTCGAATATGCTCCTAGTGCTTGGTTGCGCTTTCTTCACTGGTGGGATTGTTCATCATAAGAATGTGCAGACTTTCAATAAGGTACAAAGTTTTGAGCTCTAGGAAATGTTCTTCACCGGTGGTGATATTTTACTCCATTTTCTTGGTTTACATTTAAATCTGACTATTTGGCAACAGGGTACTGCTGTTGTGAATTCAGGATTGTTGTTAATGGCTGTTATGGGAACAACGTTTCCGGCTGTGCTTCATTTCACCCACACAGAACTTCATTCTGGAGAGTCAGCATTGTCTCTTTCAAGGTTTAGCAGTTGTATAATGTTAATTGCATATGCAAGCTTCCTTTTCTTTCAACTAAAAAGTCAGCACAATCTCTATGGTTCTCTTGATGAGGTGGGTCTAAAAAATGCAGAATCAAGGAAATAGCTATCTATCTTTTCCACGCAGTAGTTTCATTTCAAGCAGAGATGCTTTTAATTCTAATGGTTTTAGCCTTTTTATATTTCTTTAGGAAGGTGATGGTGAAGTTGAGGAGGATCCTGAGATTTATGCTTGGGAAGCAATTGGGTGGCTTGCTATCTTGACTGTATGGGTATCGATTTTATCTGGATACCTTGTTGATGCTATCGAGGTAAACTTTATTCTAATCGGCATTACAACTTTATTCTAATCCATGGCTTGACTCTAATGTTTATTCATGGTAATTCAAAGCTTTTCTGTAGTGAAGCTTACAAACTTTGTTCAGTAGGTTTCTTTTCTCGAAACCGTTGATAAAATAACAGCAAGAAGATATAGAAGGACAAAAACTATTTTTCACTCACCTAAAATGTTGATGTTGTGTGAATCTCTTAACCTCAAAATTCTACGGTTGAACACGGAAAGTTTCTAGTACTACCACAGTACAAACTCTTTTCATTTAGCATTTGACATGTCATTTAGTGATATATATATATATATATACACACACGCTAGGCTTCTAGGCTTCGCACCATTCTTAAATATTTCTTTTATGACAAGTATTGAAGAGAAGTAGTATGAGAATTTTTGTGTACTGCTATAGCACTATAATTTTTTCTGATTAAAACAGTAATCCTATGGGACAAACTCATGTTCTATGGTCTGTTCTCATTTGCCTTCGGATCACGCATATTTTCTATATGAAGTCTTCAAATTCTGCACTTCATTTTTATCTTGGTCGCTGGACTCTCTAATTTTTTCCCTGAAAATAAAAAAAGAGTGATAAGGACCTTGCAGTATCCAGCAAATTTAATTAGTTTGTGTGTATTCTCTCAGGGAGCATCTGAATCATTACATTTGCCAGTGGCTTTTATAAGTGTAATTTTGTTGCCAATAGTTGGAAATGCTGCTGAACATGCAAGTGCAATCATGTTTGCCATGAAGGATAAGCTTGTGAGTACTTTGTGGATTTTTTTTCATTTTCATCTAATCATCTACTTTCATTGGCTTAATTGACCTAAAAGTTACTGCAGAACATCACCCTTGGAGTTGCTATTGGATCATCAACACAAATATCCATGTTTGTGGTTAGTCTTGAAGATTATTTTTAAGTTCCTAATAACACTTAATCAGTTGATTCTAACAAAACTTTAGGTGAAATGGAAACAGAATTACCATTAGTTTAACTCTTCTATAACATTTAGCTGTACTGTGTGCCATTGATGATTGCAGATCCCATTTTGCGTCGTTGTTGGATGGTGTATGGGAATACCAATGGACTTGAACTTTAAACTCTTTGAGACTGCAACTCTGTTTATAACTGTGCTAGTGGTGGCCTTTATGTTGCAGGTGCGTTATCTTCTATCCATCCTTCCATATTTAACGCTGCATTATGGGACTATTACTTTGAACTTTTCGGTGCATTTTCATTAAAAAGTTTCGTTTATATACCAAAAGCCATTCCGTCGGAACATGAATGTATAAACGAAAATGGGAAATAAAAGTGGCTTATCCATGATAAGTTCAGTATAAATGCATTAGACACTGTGGTATGCGAACAATTGCTGTCCTTATCTCTGTTTGTTCTGTACGATAAGTCATTGTTCTCATGTTCTTGGCAACGGTCATATTTGCAGGAGGGGACGTCAAATTATTTCAAAGGTCTAATGCTTATTCTATGCTACCTCATTGTGGCAGCCAGCTTCTTTGTACATGTTGACCCTAGCAGTGGTGAGTAGTTACTCCTTGAATCCACTACAAATAGAAAATCTACTGCTTAGTTTCTGGAATTGCCTTGTAATTACATCTTCTCACCTTATTTATTTTTAGTTAGTTCAACAGTATGTTGGGGTTGGAGATTCGAACCTCTGACCTTTTGGCTGAAGTTACATGTTTTATGCCAGTTGAGCTTTGATTTCTCTGAAATATTTTTGTTCATTATAATCTTCTAGACTCGTGGACATAGGATTCCCTTCTTATGTCGATATTTAACAGCTAAAACTGCGACTGAATCTGGCTTAAAAGGTTCGGAGCCATAATTATTTATTGGATTGCTACGCAGATGATGATTAACCCTGGAAGCAAGTTGGTCCTGGAACTTTACTGCAAGCTGAAGTTCTGCATTGCATTAATCCTCAAACCACCACTGCTTCACTTCGTTGGAAGCTGCAGACATCAGATGGAGTTTGGTTNATATATATATATATATACACACACGCTAGGCTTCTAGGCTTCGCACCATTCTTAAATATTTCTTTTATGACAAGTATTGAAGAGAAGTAGTATGAGAATTTTTGTGTACTGCTATAGCACTATAATTTTTTCTGATTAAAACAGTAATCCTATGGGACAAACTCATGTTCTATGGTCTGTTCTCATTTGCCTTCGGATCACGCATATTTTCTATATGAAGTCTTCAAATTCTGCACTTCATTTTTATCTTGGTCGCTGGACTCTCTAATTTTTTCCCTGAAAATAAAAAAAGAGTGATAAGGACCTTGCAGTATCCAGCAAATTTAATTAGTTTGTGTGTATTCTCTCAGGGAGCATCTGAATCATTACATTTGCCAGTGGCTTTTATAAGTGTAATTTTGTTGCCAATAGTTGGAAATGCTGCTGAACATGCAAGTGCAATCATGTTTGCCATGAAGGATAAGCTTGTGAGTACTTTGTGGATTTTTTTTCATTTTCATCTAATCATCTACTTTCATTGGCTTAATTGACCTAAAAGTTACTGCAGAACATCACCCTTGGAGTTGCTATTGGATCATCAACACAAATATCCATGTTTGTGGTTAGTCTTGAAGATTATTTTTAAGTTCCTAATAACACTTAATCAGTTGATTCTAACAAAACTTTAGGTGAAATGGAAACAGAATTACCATTAGTTTAACTCTTCTATAACATTTAGCTGTACTGTGTGCCATTGATGATTGCAGATCCCATTTTGCGTCGTTGTTGGATGGTGTATGGGAATACCAATGGACTTGAACTTTAAACTCTTTGAGACTGCAACTCTGTTTATAACTGTGCTAGTGGTGGCCTTTATGTTGCAGGTGCGTTATCTTCTATCCATCCTTCCATATTTAACGCTGCATTATGGGACTATTACTTTGAACTTTTCGGTGCATTTTCATTAAAAAGTTTCGTTTATATACCAAAAGCCATTCCGTCGGAACATGAATGTATAAACGAAAATGGGAAATAAAAGTGGCTTATCCATGATAAGTTCAGTATAAATGCATTAGACACTGTGGTATGCGAACAATTGCTGTCCTTATCTCTGTTTGTTCTGTACGATAAGTCATTGTTCTCATGTTCTTGGCAACGGTCATATTTGCAGGAGGGGACGTCAAATTATTTCAAAGGTCTAATGCTTATTCTATGCTACCTCATTGTGGCAGCCAGCTTCTTTGTACATGTTGACCCTAGCAGTGGTGAGTAGTTACTCCTTGAATCCACTACAAATAGAAAATCTACTGCTTAGTTTCTGGAATTGCCTTGTAATTACATCTTCTCACCTTATTTATTTTTAGTTAGTTCAACAGTATGTTGGGGTTGGAGATTCGAACCTCTGACCTTTTGGCTGAAGTTACATGTTTTATGCCAGTTGAGCTTTGATTTCTCTGAAATATTTTTGTTCATTATAATCTTCTAGACTCGTGGACATAGGATTCCCTTCTTATGTCGATATTTAACAGCTAAAACTGCGACTGAATCTGGCTTAAAAGGTTCGGAGCCATAATTATTTATTGGATTGCTACGCAGATGATGATTAACCCTGGAAGCAAGTTGGTCCTGGAACTTTACTGCAAGCTGAAGTTCTGCATTGCATTAATCCTCAAACCACCACTGCTTCACTTCGTTGGAAGCTGCAGACATCAGATGGAGTTTGGTTTCGTTAGTTGAACTGTGCTATAATATGACAGTTGATCTTTTCTCCTCATTGATCATCTTCTTCCTTAGCTTGTTTATCATAGGCTTCAGCTGTAATCTATATTCACTAATTGTAATCTCTTCCTTTGAATGCTCTTCTTTGTCGTCTTAGCTATAAGAAGTGTTCAACCAATCGAACCAAATATCACCACTGATCCCGGATGTATCCAGGAGATGGACATTTTCTTGAAAACTGGGATTCAAAAGATGTGGGCTTCTTTGAAAGAACAAAAAATGTCCCACACCCAAACAAATTGTAAGGTGGAAGATGGTTGTGTGTGGGATCTTCGAATTTAGAACTTTGTAGCTTAGCACACAGCATATATTCTAATGAAACGATCACAATCAACCAAAGCAGAGTACAAACAATGTATATTTAAAGAAACAGAAATCTTATCCAATTCAATCCAACCCAATCCCTCCTCGAAAGTTAATTTAGTTTGTTTCTGTCTTTAAATGACATAATCTTTTGTCTTCAACTGAGGCAGTTGAAATTGGTTTGATGTGTGTCTGTTTACGTACATAAAGACCAGGAGATTTTGGTAACCAAGATTAGTATCCACCTTCCAAATACGCTATTTCAGGGTAGGTTAATCGGGAACGAGAGACAAGCTCTTATAATGATGTTCCCATCATTAACAAATTATCCCACTAATATTTCCATCAACGGAGGCCACTCGGCCACCGACTGCTATTTGCGTGGGCTCCTTCCAATTTCCAAGCTTTGTGATTTCTATCACCAAACTGTTTGTGAAAATGTCGCAGAGGCCGTCCCCACTTCAAATTTGTCTTGGACCCCAACGTTTGCGAGCTCGTGACTACCCACCACACCACCTGGACTCAGCCCCATCATGTGTCCACCACTGCTCGTCTTTTCTCCTCTTTTCCTATTGCCTCTTTCATTTTCCAATTTGTTTCTTGGCTTTTGCTCATTATCATCGACGCTAAATACTTGGATGCATTTATAGTAGTTGTTTTCGCAAACTTAGTATTGTAAAGTTAACTTTTTCAATGTTTGCGAATTCCCTATGCAAAACAAAAGAATAGAAAAAAGAAGTCTTCATGCACACTCTTGTTTCTAAAGAATGATACCTCAGTTCGTTGTTTTCTGTGACGAGATGAAAGAATCTGATATTGATGTGGAAGAAAGGAGCTCATTATTATATCAGTCTTGACAGTCGCCAAGATACCGTAATGTTGCTGTAATGGTTCCACCTTCTAGTTGATCCAAACATAAATGTCTATTTGAAACCAGCAGTGATGTAAAATGAAAGCAAGCACAAGTTCTGACACTGCTGTTCTGCTACCTCAAGACCTACCATTTGTCCGGAGTTCTGTTTCTTTGTTGGGCTTTGCATTTGTCTTCGAATCCTTAAACCAACTTTCTCGACCTTGTTGCTGGTTTTCTTTGATTTATGCATCCCGAATGAATTGGAGTTTAGCTGCCTGCTTTTTGATGTTCACTCTACAATGATAGTTTGGTTGTTGAGAAATAAAAGTTTTCTTTTAATGGTTTGGACCCGCTTAGGAAACGTGTTTGTAAGCTACCTTAAACTTGCTGTTTATTATGCGTACTTAAACTAATCGCATATATTCTTTGTTCGCATGGCAGACACTCGAGCTGGTAATCCTCCTCGCGTGACTGCTTCTTGGAATTATTTATTTCCAATAGCCCACCCGTCAGAATCAACGGTAGAAATAAAATATTCTACCAACCCATTTTCTATTCACGAAAAAGCAGAAACATGGTAAAATCAAAATTTAACCCGAGAGAGAGAGAGAGAGAGAGAGAGAGAGAGAGAGACAAAATAAGTGGCAACAGTGGTAAAAGAGAGACCTTTCCAAGGCCTTGGATACTATCTGACAAGTCCTGCTGCGATGGCCATAAAGAAACATTTTTCCCATTCTTAAAAAGGGTAAGAGGTCGAATTAAAAGAAAGAGAAGGAAAAAAGAAAAAAAAAAAAGAAAGAAAAAAAAGGAGGCAAGCTGATTTGTTTTCTGCCTTTTCAGGCAGAGAGGAGCAAGTGACAGAGAGAAATGGTGAAGAAATGGAGTTGGGGAGAGGCGTTGCTGCTCATCAATATCTGCATTTTGGGATGGAGGGCCAGTTTTATCTATGGAGCTACGGATCCAGGAGATGGTCAGTACCTGAGTTCTTTGTGTCTTGTTTCACTTCGCTTGTTTTCCTTCCCACGCCGTGTTTCTGTTCTTACATTAGCTTTCAAGCATTCCTTTTCTTCTTCCTTAATGTTATGCACTGCATACACTGGGAAGCAACCTGGATGTTCCTTACATTACATACTTTCAGCTACACTTCAGTTTTTACATCACAGAGCCTCATATAACCCTTGAAGAAGAAGATGATTCTAAAGAGGTTTCAGTTAAGAGAATGTTGCTTTTTATTACTATTATTAGGGCTCTCATCATATGAAGAACTTTCTTCCTCTCCTGCAAGGAGCTTCCTTAGGAACAGTGGTTTTAGGAGAGCATGCGTGGCGTATATTTGCCATGTCACAACTTTCAGCCTACAAGAATGTGAATACTTAGAGATGCCTCATTTTGGATTTTGATAAGGATACCATCTCAGTAGACCTTGTTACTGCACAAAAATAGTGACTACAGGGATAAAGAAATCGAGCAAGAACTCCACCTTGTACCCATTTGTATCTGCTCCTTGGCTCTAACCTGAACAATGTTACTTGTCTAGGAGATCATCATGTATGCATTGTTGCTTCCGAAGTGATATTTTGACATATTTTGTGTAGAGGATATATTCGTTGGAAAGTTATTGTTAATTTTACTTGAACGCACTCTATTACTCATACACATAAATATCTTAGTAGCATTATTTCTGCAGTGTCTGCTCTAAATGCCATGTTTACTAGTTTAAACTCGCCTCCAATTCTAACCCTATGGACTGCAAGTGGTGGAGATCCGTGTGGTCAGCTTTGGAAAGCCGTTACTTGCTCGGGCTCACGGGTCACAGAAATGTATATTTCTCTTGCCCTGTTATATACATTTATACAGTTAACATTTATGTGATTTCACTTATCTATATAATTTTTTTAGTTCACTGTCTGGTTTAGGACTTTCTGGATCACTGGGATACCAGCTCTCAAGTTTGACATCTCTAATTAATCTGTAAGATCTTTGGTCTCGTTTGTCAAATGGATATAAATTAATTTTCTTAATCGATATGTCATATAGATAATATGTAAACAAATGCAATTTGCAGAGACGCGAGTATCAACAATCTTGGACCTGACATACCTTATCAACTCCCTCAAAACTTGCAAAAACTGTATGATTCTATTGTTGCTTATTCTGACAAAGTTATATTTCCATCTCAATTTATAAAATTAACTTCTTTCTGCAGAAACCTTGGATGTAATAACTTCAGTGGAAGCCTTCCCTATTCTATTTCTCAAATGAGTTTGCTTATATCCTTGTTAGTACTTTCAAGTTTAATATATACTTTTTTTCCTTTTATGCATTCTACCTGCATGCTGAAGCTAACGCTTGGTCTTCTGCTCTTGCCCCTCCGCTCCTGACTTGGAATCATAGGAACATCAGCCACAATCAGCTTCGAGATCAAATCAACAATATGTTCTGGAATCTTTCTTCCCTGTCCACGTTGTGAGTTCACATTTTATCCTCAATTAATATGAGTTTAACTAAATATTTTGATCACTTTCATTCCTTGATTTCTTACGTCAATTAAATTCTTTCCTATAAAAATAAAAAAACAAAAAGAGAACTTTTCTCTAAAAGTGTGGGATCCAACGATCCCACATTGATTGGGGAGGAGAACGAAACACCCTTTATAAGGGTGTGGAAACCTTTTCCCTAGCAACGCATTTTAAAGCCTTGAGGGGAAGCCCGAAAGGGAAAGCTCAAAGAGGACAATATCTGCTAGCGGTGGGTCTGAGCTGTTACAAAAGGCGTTGGCAAAAGGCATTTCCAACGGTGAATTAACTTCATTTAAACATATGAACTAACGATCATCGACTAACTGAAAAGATATTGTAGCTGGTTTTCTTTAAATTCAGTGTGTAAATAACCATCTTTCCCTTCTTCAGGGATGTCTCTTTCAATTTTCTGTCAGGTACTCTCCCCCAGAGTTTTAGCAACCTTACCAGTATGAACTCAATGTGGGTATTGAATAATTACTTAATGTGGAATAAGTATGTAGCCAATGCTGATTCTTCATGTTTTTCCTTCTAAATTTCTGTAGGTTTCTGCAAAACAACCAGTTCAGTGGCACTATAGATGTTCTTGCAAATCTTCCTCTCCAAAACTTGTGTGTTTTCTTATATGACTATTTTTCAGTAGGAACTTAGCATGTAGAAACAACTTATATTGCATTCTTCTCAGGAATGTCGAAAACAACAATTTTACTGGTTGGGTTCCTGAACGATTGAAGAACATAAATATTCAGTGAGTAACTGACCAACATAATTATCTTCTCTAAGATATTGTGTTTAGCCAAATGTAATAGTCCAATTGAACTTGTGCAACTATGTGACAGGGATGGTGGCAATTCTTGGAGCTATGGGCTTGCACCCCCACCTCCGCCCGGTACATCTCCAGCCTACCACAATTACAGATATCACAAGCCTGGGAACAATTACAGCCCACTGAGTAGTGGTGCTGCTGATGGAGATAGCAGTAGATCAGGAATCAGTGGTGGTGCCATTGCTGGAATTCTTATATCTCTGCTAGTTGTGGGAGCAGTGGTAGCATATCTCTTTGTAAAGAGAAGGCCCAAGAAGTCATCCACAGACATAGAGAAGCTAAAGCTTGGGAACAAGCTTAGCGTATCTACTGCTTCAAATGCAGCGCAAGGTAAACTTGCTCGACTGCTTTCTTATTCATTGAGTGAATTCTTGTAAACGTTCTACAAGAAGTTTTTTACTGGCCTGCATTCCAACTTTTTTGTATTCTGATTGAGTGAATTCTTTTGAAAGATTCATTGGCAGAAATGAAGCTTATTCATACTTCATCCTCATTGGATACAAAAGCATTGGATTCTCCTGCTTCAATCAATCTAAGACCCCCACCTATGGACAGTCATAAATCGTTTGATGACAATGATACATCAACGATACCTGCTGCGAAGAAGACCAATGTCTCTCCT